CAGAGACAAAATATATGACTAGTGCCAACAGTTAATCACGGAAGAAAGAATTTACTGAGCCGAGATCACTAACTAATATTAATATAATACTAATATAATAGAAAAGAACTGTCTTTTCTGTATACTTTCCTTTTTTTCTGTTTTGCAACACTCCTTAAAACAAATAAAAGGGTTTCAGTTGGACTAAAAATAAAAGGGGGAAGGAAGAATGCGAGTCGGTGTGCTAATTCCTCATCCTCAAATTGGTCCTTCCCATGGATTATGGTCCCAACAAATAAATAATTGTAGGAGTGAAATCTTGATATAATTCGAAAAAGCAAGGAGCAAGTCCCAGTCCATAAAATTAAAAAAAAAAACGTAATTTTCAGATTTACAAGATTAAACAAAATGATTCGCAAATAAAAGCGCTAATGCTATAACCAGCCCACGCATAAAAACATTCCTCCTAAAGTAACTGTTAATATGAATAATAGAAACTCTGTTATAACCATTTCTGTACATTCAATGTACTATACGGATAGAGGAATACAGAGAGTCAAACATAGTAAAATAAGAAATTGAAAGATTTTGTTGAAATTGTTCGTTTGGAAATTTTCCGAGAAGTTAATCATAAGTTCTTCTCTCTATTGGAACAATAAGGCCATTATGCTTATTACTAAACTTGTTGAAGAGATGAAATACATCTAAAGTATATCTTTTTTATCAGAGATTGAATCGATCATCAGAAGAAGAATTAAGCCAAAAATTAGGATACATTATGGGAAAATAAAACTTCCATCGAAGATAAACAAATGAAAGACTTTCATAAAATTCTCATAGAATCGAGAATGAAATTTTCATTCTGTACATGCCAAATCATGAATTAGTAAGAATTCTTTATCTCTCTCAATTCGAAAATCTAGAATTTGAATTGATGTCCTTTCATTGATTCCTCCTAAATTGCATTGATTTATTCTAAAGATTTCATTTCAATTGAAATTTGATTATTCATCATGTACAAGGATCCCCACTAAGCATCCATGGCTGAATGGTTAAAGCGCTCAACTCATAATTGGCAAATTCGTAAGTTCAATTTCTACTGGATGCACGCCAATGGGACCCTCCAATAATCCGGTTATAAACAACAATGTTTTTGAATAAGCATGAGTAATCAAATGAAATAAAGCAGCTCGATAAGACCCCATACCTAGAGCTAACATCATATAACCCAATTGAGACATTGTAGAATAGGCTAACCCTCTCTTAATATCTTTTTGAGCAAGAGCTAAAGTAGCTCCTAATAATATTGTTATTATACCTATCAAAGAAATTAAATATATTACGTAAGATATGCCTATGAAAAGAGGAAGAAGCCGAGCTACAAGAAAAATTCTTGCTGCTACCATAGTAGCAGCATGTATAAGAGCCGAAATAGGAGTAGGACCTTCCATCGCATCAGGTAACCATACATGAAGAGGGACTTGAGCGGATTTAGCAACTGGGCCTGCAAATAATAGATAAACACACAAAATAACGAATAAAAAATGAACCTGATTATTATAAATCAAGTTATTGAATATTTTGAACAAATCTTGAAATTCGAAACTACCCGTTATCTAAGAAAGACCTAAGGTTTCCAATAATAAACCAAAATCCCCTACACGATTAGTTACAAAGGCTTTTTGACAAGCATTTGCTGCAATAGGTCGTGTGAACCAAAAACCTATTAATAAATAAGAACACATTCCGACTAATTCCCAAAAAATATAAACTTATATCAAATTAGAACTAGTAACTAATCTTAACATTGAAGTATTGAAAAAACTCATATAAGCAGAAAATCTCAAATACCCTTGATCATGAGACACATATAACTGTCACTATAAATAAGAACCAAAATTCCAACAGTAGTGATTAATATTGACATAATAGAAGTAAGTGGATCAATCAAGTTGCCAAACTCAGAAAGAAAATTCATTATTTATGGTCTCTACTTCTCTTTTGTAAGCATCCTTGCGCAGATCATAGCAAAACTAATTCAGAGAAGCATATCAACTGCTAGAGCTTCCCTGATTATTTCTTTAATGTTACAGAAAACAATTTCCTTAGAATCTCAGAAAGCTTTCTGAGGCAGCCTGATTCTAAGATTAAGCCTCCATCAGGCCTGATTCTAATTAAGACAAGAACGAATATCAGAACTATAACTCAAAACCTCCACCAGAAGGACTGATATATGATTTTTTCTGGCCAAACTCTTTTTATATCTGCAAGTTCTAAAATTTCAATCCAACATAACCGCTGCAAATTTTCATTCCTAAACAACATTTTAAAGGGGTAAAATATAAAATACTCCCGGGGATTTAGGGTCTGTCACTGATGACCTCCCCATCTTTAACATGAAATTCTACTATTTTAGGAGTGAAAAGCAATGGATACTCTTCCATAATGTTCTGACACGAAGGCCAGTAACATGGTAATAATCAGAAGATTTCAATCAATTCAAAATGTTTGAACCCACTCCCAAAGCTCCAGAGCCATAAATATTTCAGCAATTTATCAGAATGTACATAATAAAGCTTGCGATTCATGAAACTACAAACTGACAGAAATTAAACAACAAACAATTCAAGTAACTAGTTCCTTCAACACTCCAATTGCTTTGGGATATAAGTAGATTTGAAAAGAATGAAGAACCCAAAACTGGCAGGTAAGATATCTAGAATCTATGGAATATGGCCTTGTTGGAGCTCCATGGATAATTATGAGAGATTATGCTATTCTCTAACAAGTATAGACAGCTTAAATGACCAGTAAAATCAAAAGAAGAGCATCATGCAATAATGCAGGTAGATTCTCAGCACTTGAGCCAAGCAGGTACAGCTAAGTATGGAGAAAGACAGTCAAATTAAACACTATGCCCCACAATGCTAGAGATAATCATACACATGGATTATTTTCGAGGTAGATGGTGGTCAGCTTCTCTCTTGAACAGGCAACAGCTTCACTAACTGCTTCAAGTGATTCTATTTGGTTATCATTCAGCCACAAGTCTTCTAACCTACAAAAGAGGTCAGGAGTTAAAATCAGCAATTGACGTTACAACACGAGAATGTACAGCAAGAAGGAGGGAAAATAAGTACTTTGCCAGGTTCTGAATGTCATCTACTGATGTTAACTTGTTTGATGATACATCCAATACACGGAGATTAACCAATGTCCCTAAGCCTTCCATTTTTGATATACCATTATGGCTCAAGTACAGTTCTTCTAGAGCAACACAATCCTGATGAAGAGAAAAAAAGAAAAAAAGAAACATAGATAACCATGTATGGTCAAACGTTTAGTAAAGAGAAAAAATGAATTGAGTTTTTGCACCACCATGCTCAACAACAGCATACCTCAAACCCTTTCATAGAAGTTAACCGATTACTCTGTAAGCTAATTTTCTTGATGCATTTCAACCCACATAAATTTACTAATTTGATACGATTCCGTCCAAGCCATAGCTCTTGTAATTTCGTTAGATTTTGCAAGTTCTCCATTACCTGAAACACCAAGTTAATAACTTTATTTTGTTAGAAAACATTTCAGTTCGAGTCTCCAAGCATCCATCTCAAATATGTTCATTATCAATCATTCGATCTCCATTACCACTCATTGAATTAGCAGGAAATGAAATGCTAATTAATGGATTGAAGACTAACCCTCAATCTGTTGGAACCAAGTTCAAGGATTTGCAAGTCATGCAAGTGGTCAATCTCCTCCATCTTAGTAACTTCATTTTTTGATACATAAAGTTCCTTAAGTGTGGAGGAAGCTTTGGCTAACCCGTGCAGTGAAGTGATTTCATTGAAAGAGACGTCAAAAACCAAAAGCTTCTTGAATATGCTGACATCAGGTAGTTTCGTTAGCTTATTATCCCTGAGAATTAGCTCCTGCAGACAACCATCCCTTTCAATACAGACAAAGATGATTCAAAACGGTTGACATAGAAATATCATAATCTTATCTTCTCATCAATTTTGAATTAATATGTGGAATTCAAAATGGTTACTTTCTCGGCAACAAAACTTGCAGTCAGGCGGATAAGATTAACATGAGAAGACGGGATTACCTCGAGATCACACAACACTTCCCAGCAAGAGATTGGTTCGATTGCAGCATCGTCGATGAGATTCTGGCGAAGAGAGAGCTTCTTCAGGTTCGAGAGCTGCGCGATCCTGGGGTCCAATCTTGACAATCGATTCGCAGTAACGTCCAACTCAGTCAGAGTCGGTGGCAACTCGACCGAGTCCAGATCGTGGAGCTGGAAACTGGTGAGGTCTAGCACCGTACTTGAATAATCCATCTCCGCTGTTTGATCGGGCTCATCGGAATTCTGTTTTGGTGACAGCGAGGCCTCGCCGTCCATCGTTGGACAATACTCAATGTTGGTGGCTCCAAAAGTTCTGTGACAAAGCTCTTCTTTGTGCAATGGGCACTCGGCGTGACGATGGGTTGCCGTATTGGCTGTCTCTCTCCAGTGTACTGTCCAGGAGGGGAGAAAGTTTACAGTTTTCTGGTCTGAACTGTTGGGCCTTGCAGTTATTGGGCTCGTTACTGGACTGAATACTCTTTCGCATCCAAACAGTTCATGGACACAAGTGATACAGTAAACTATAAAAGCGTACTACCCCTTCCATCGTACAACGCATGACAACCACTCACCGCTTCCTGCTCGCAATTCCTGACATCAAAGCGCACAAACATGTCCCAATATTTTGCAAAATCTATCACAGCTTGGTTTCAAGAACCACAGATCTTCATAGTACTCGACTCAGCGATCCATATCCTAGTAGCAAAGCTTTACCCGCATCGATTCAGGACCAGGTCATAACCCTCGCAAATGAATTGGCAAACTGTAGTAATTTGTGGCAGTCGAGTCAGATTCATGCCCACGTTATTCGTACCCACATGCTGGAGCTGCAACCCTTTCCATTTCACTGGAACAACCTCATTAGAGCGTACACTAGGCAAGATGCTCCCTTCAGGGCTCTGCGCGTCTACATCGCCATGTCTCGAGCTGGGGTTTTGCCAGATTCGTACACTCTCCCTATAGTAGTAAAAGCCGCAGCCCAACTTTTTGCTACCCATTTTGGCAGGCAGGTTCACTCCGTTGCTATAAGGTTGGGTCTCGAGTCAAACGTGTACTGCGAGAGCGGGTTGATTTCCTTGTATTGCAAAGCGGCAGAATTTGTGAATGCACGCAAGGTGTTTGATGAAAACAGTGATAGAACACTGGGTTCTTGGAATGCCTTAATTGGAGGATTATCCCAAGGTGGGCATGCCAAAGAAGCTGTGGAAATGTTTAGAGAGCTGAGGAAAAGTGGAATCCTGCCAGATAACCTGACAATGGTTAGCGTAACATCCGCTTGTGGAAGCTTGGGAGATCTGAAGTTGGCTCTTCAATTGCATAACTGCGTTTTCCAATGTAATAACGTGGAGAAACCAGATATTCAGATGTTGAATTCGCTTATCGACATGTACGGAAAATGTGGCAGGATGGACTTAGCATACAAGGTGTTTTCAAGAATGGATCAACCAAATGTATTATCATGGACCTCCATGATTATGGGGTACGCAATGCATGGACACGTAACCGAAGCACTTGAGTGTTTTGGGTGCATGAGAGAGGCCGAGGTTAGACCCAACCATGTGACCTTTGTCGGAGTGCTAAGCGCCTGCGTGCATGGAGGGAGAGTTCGAGAAGGAAGACTTTACTTTGAGATGATGAAGAATGTTTATGGGATATTGCCGAAGTTACAGCATTATGGATGTATGGTTGATTTGCTGGGGCGAGCAGGGTTGCTGGAGGAGGCGAGAGAAGTGATTGAAGGTATGCCAATGGCAGCGAATGAGGTGATATGGGGGTGTTTGATGGGTGCGTGTGAGAAGCATGGGGATGTGGAGATGGGAGAGTGGGTAGCAAAGCATTTGATAGAATTGGAACCGTGGAACGACGGGGTTTATGTCGTTTTATCTAATATTTATGCGGATGGAGCCTTGTGGGAAGAGGTTGAAAGAATAAGAGGGATTATGAAGCAGAGAAAACTTGCTAAAGTTCCTGCTTATAGCTTTGCAGCAACTTCAATTTAAGACAAAAAAAAAAAAAAAAAATCTATTTAAGTTTGAAATAGAATTATAAATTAATTAAATTTGAAATGCATTTTTATTTTACCTTGGGTCTTGTTCAAATTTTATTATTTATAAGAGAATTTTTACCCTTGCTGTTTAAACTAGTTTTGAATTCTGTGTAAAAATCTTGAGTTATTGTAGACATAAGTATTATGCTAACAGATAACTCTAGCACAAAAGTCACTTGCTAAAATTAATGTTCATAGTTTTTTCTAGAACACCTGTGTCCAGCAAATTATTTTTATATTATTCTATAGAATTTCCTTTTTAAGTTAATAAATAAGTTTTTTTAAAACAAAAAAAAAAAACAAACTCCAAGCCTTTTTTTTATTTGTATTATGAGGTTTATTATGAAATTCCAACATGGTGAAGTCTTCTCATTAACTGGAGGCACCTGGGTAACATGAGTTTCAGATTTATTTAATGTTCTACTTTCAAATAAAGTAGTTTTACAAGATTATAAAGCAGTTTTATAAAATTATAATTTATGGAAATTAAAAAAAAAAAAATTAGTACAAATTTTTTTTAAAAAAAGCATTCTCTAATACATCCCTAACTTCAAAGAAAGTAATCTCTTAAACTCAAGTGTGTTTAAAGATTATTTGTGAATGGATTCTGATTATTAAGTTTTTAACACATTGCTTTGCAATAATTTAAGCTCATGAAATAAGGCTGAAGTTTTAGTAATCTCTATATGGGTAGGCATTAACACTCACTTAGTATACAAAAAAATAATTTTTTTAAAGTATTAAATCATGCCTAATCATTATTATCTATCGATACATAATTATTTAACTTATACATATTCATAGGTGGGGGTTGTCATCAGCTTGCATGTTGATCTTGTCCTTTCCTATAGTCTCAAAGTTACAAGAAGTATATTCCTAATATTTGAATGGGGACATGTTGGATATTGTTTTTGTTATTTGTATAGTCATAAGCTTCTACTGTTGACTAAGTTAGTTAGTTGCTTAATACCTAGTTATTTTTCTATTAAGCAAGTTGTTAGAGTTAGTAACAACACATGTATTCCTATAAATACACTATGTATCCATCTTATTCAAAGAATGAAGAATTCTCTCAAGATTTCTTAATTATCATTTCTTGCCTATCATTTGCACTTTCTCTACTTTAAATTCTGCTGTGAATTCTTTCTTGTTCATTTACTCCATATTCTTCATAAGATCAACATAAAATAACTCATATTTCATTACATATAGTTAGGCACTCAGCCACAAGTCACTCATCAAGTGATAAAGATGAATTTGTGGATATTCTCAAATGATTTATTATATTCAAAAAGTATCTAACAATTTTTACATTATTCAATTAAAGATCTAATTTTGGACAATTAACTATACACAAGAATTTGCATGTATAATTTTTGATATAACACCTAAAGATTCATGTTGGATAATAGATACAGGGGGCAGTAATCATATTTGTGTCATTAGTTCATTATTTTGCAATCTCAATAAGACTCAAATATCTAGTTTTGTCCATTTACCAAATGGTTCTATTTTAAAGGTTGAATATTTTGGTGATATAGTTTTGGAGAGTGGATTGATTTTGAAAAGAGTGTTGTTTATCCCTTATTTTCATCACAACCTATTGTTTGTCAACAAGTTGACCAAAACAACTGGTTTCATGTTCATTTTTTACCCTGATTTTTGCTTATTGCAGGACAAGAAGACTAGTAGACAATGGTTGTTGGCAAATGGTCTGGTAATCTATACTACCCTTGAATTTACTTCTTTCAAATCAGAAACCTTAAATCAGTATGATTCTCATTCTTGTATTCATGTTTCAAATTTTTTGTTGAAAAGTAAAGTGGTTAATTATGTAATAGAAACCTTAACATCTTGAAGGTCAGGGCATCCCTTTTTAATTGTATTACAAAAGTTATATTTTGAAGTTAATAAAGAAGATTTGTTTACTAAACCGAGTGATATATGTGCAAGAGTAAAACAAACAAGAGTATCTTTTGAGAGTAGTAATAGTTATAGTGATATATTATTTGAGTTGATACATGTGGATGTGTTGGGTCCTTATAATTAATTGTCATCTTTTAATGCATATTATTTTTTGACAATAGTAGAGGATAAAAGAAGATGTACTTGAACCTATCTTATGCAAAATAAAGCATAAACAGGTTTTCTATTAAGCAAATTTATCAGAATGGTTATTAAATAATTTGATGCCAAAGTTAAGATAATAAGAAGTGATAATGACAGTGAGTTTTTGACTTATTCATGTCAAAACATTTTCATTGAGCATGGTATTGGTGCATCATACAATCTATCCATACACCCCACAACAGAATGGGAAAGTGGATCGAAAACATAAGTATGTTGCAAGTTGCACGAGTTATGCTTTTTCGGGCTACATTACTCATTTATTTTTTGGGGAGAGGCTCTATTACATATACATTGTCAACAGGTTACCATCTGTAATCTTACAAGGGAAGAGTCCATATGAATGTGTGTATCAAAAGCTTCCAGATTATAACAAGCTTAAAATTTTTGGGTGTTTGTGTTACTCAACAAACACTCAACCTCATAAGCACAAATTTGCTCCAAGGGAATTTAAATGTATTTTTATGGAATTTATTGCAAGAAAAAAGGGTTATAAGATTTTTTATCTTGATAACAATCATTACTTGGTTTTCAGATATGTGATTTTTATGAAAATAACTTTCCATATGCAGCTCAAGTACAAACAGAAGCATCAACGGTTATTCCCTAAATTCCAATTGCTGAAGTAGACATTTATCAGCATATTAGTTTGCAAACAAAAAATATTACCAATACTTGTGCATCTAATACAGCTGTGTCAACTAATGTTCCAATTCTTAATTCTGCTATGCACAATTAAAAGGAGTTACTCATTCCAATCTTGCTGCTAATATAACAAATGATGAATTTCATTATCAAAGGATTAGTGTTAGGGTGAGAAGAAAACCTAATTGGCTACAAGAGTACATAAACATTGTCAATTATGCAGCTGCAACAAATCCAGTCTTGACTTCTCCACATATGCCCAATATTTTTCCATTTGTTTCTAGTTCTAACTTAGATGCTGATCACTTAATTTTTTTTGGTAAATGTCACTATGTTATAGGAGCCAAAAACCTATAAAAAAGCAAAACAGTTAAACGGATCAAGGGTGATTTATTATTATTTTATTATTTTTATTTTTATCATAATATATTTTTATCTAATTAAAAATAAATTAATAGTTTTAATTAATTTACTAAAAATATGAGAGGATATTAATTTATATGTTATTTTTAATATTTATGTATTCTAATTTTTTTTACTATTTTTTGTAATCTCTTCAAAGCTATATAAGAGGATTTCATTATAAGAATTAAGCAGAGAAGAATGAAAGTTATCTTATCTTCTTCAAATATAAACATTCTCTCAATTTTTCATTAACATTTGTTTGAGAGTTGTTGAGTTCTATCACTCCCATACGGATCAGATTGGTATCAGAACATTTTGATCCTAGCTGTATATGGCTAAGACTAGAAGTGGTTACAAGAAAATCAAAAAACCATTTTCTATTCTCAACGTTCACCGAAGACCTTCAAGAAGAACCACAAAATTTGAGTATATTTGTAACGACCCCGGAAATTTAAAGGAAATGTATATAAAGAATATGAATGCGGAAGCGAAATAAAAGGTTCTGATTAATATCCCTTACATAATAACTTAAACGTACTAACAATATCAAAAATAAGTCATCTAAAGGAAATACTAGAAATGAAAGGTTATAAGGAAACTAATAAACATCTAGGTATCTACTCGCCGTCTTCTTGTGGATCGGGCTCAGGGACCAAGTCCTCCTAATCTCATATGGTTAAGTAAGGAATGAGCTACACTAGCCCAGTAAAGACATCACACTATATCATTATCACAAAAGTAAAGGTTGGTAGAAAACCAAAAACAACCAATGGAGCACAAATTCTGAATAAATTCATTTATCAATAATCAAACCATTTACCGTCCACTTACCTTAGTGGGATTTATAAAAACAACCCATGGAAACAACAACGTCATAGATATCATGAATTCATACATAATCTGTAACATAGCACATGTCATACTTTTATATTTCAATCATCAAATAACAGTTGTCCCCTTTTTATCAGCCTACTAGTATCCATGGGGATCCATAGGGGTCCCCGCTACACGTGAACCATTCCCTTAACAAACTTAATTTCTGGGGCCGTCCCATACCCCGTCCGATATGGGCGCAAAACAATAAACCTCAATATCCCGTCCGGTATGAGGGTGAAACGGGCCGTCCCCATACCCCGTCTGGTATGAGCGTCAAAACATTTAAAGTCTCCATACCCCGTCCGGTATGAGACAACGTTCCCAATAGGGTTCCCTATGGACCTGGTCCGTCCACCATCTCTCAGGATATCTAGTGAGTCTGTCAACTTATCCATTTATCAATACACACCTCTTTCCTATTTTTTTCTTAGTTTTTCTATTTCCCACATAAACATGAATACTAAAGCAATTAACGAGTATCCAACAAGGCAAGCATATCATTAGATTCACAAAATCAGGCTGAAATGAAGTAAGCAGTGATTCATGCATTCAAAATTATAAAATAAATAAATCAGATACCATACTGCATTTAGATTGTAAAATAAATCAAACAGGAACTGACAGAGAAATATGTTCGGTTCGGGCTCCATTAGCAATCGTAATAAATTATGCATATTATTTAATTTATACAAATACAGTTTTATCATTTATTAGACTTTAATCCCGTGATAGGAAATAGGGTGAGGGGTCCTTACTTAATTTGACGTCGAAAATTGAATTTTCACTGCGCCTACGAGCAGTCCCTAGATTCCCTGAATTTTTTTTCGAAAACTGAAACGCGCTTACAGTACCTACACATGTCCCAAATAACTCAAAAATCAGACCCAAGGCCTATTCGGCAAATTTCAGAATTCCGGCACGGCGGCTTCTCATTGGGTTGGCTGTT